ATGCTTAAACGGTTTTGGATTTTCAGTCATTAAGAGAAGTATTGTTTAGACAGCTGTTTCCTGTTAAAAAAAAAAAAAAAAATAACCTTCTTTTTTGAATCTCTATTCCTAGAGTTTCGTCCTGGTTCAAAATAACCTTCTTTTCTGAATCTCTATTCCTAGAGTTTCGTCCTGGTGAGCCATGGAAAGGTTATCCAAACATCGACCCTGAAACTGACCCTTACGTCACTCCTGGCAGTGTCATAAACAATCTTTCAATTAATACTGTGCGGGAAGTTGACCACCTCAGGGACAGGAACAGTGGTAGGTTCAGATGCTACGTTTTTCTAATTAATTGTCTACTGATCTTCCTTCAGTCACACAGAGAGACTGTTTACTTGGAGATGCGTTTGTTGCTTGCTCATCTCCTTGTTTATCTTTTGTATTCTGGATTGCATGGCTGAAAAGCTCATCTTTGGCTCAAGCACTGCTGCTTGATGCAATGCAACAGCTACTCCAGGAATGCGGGCAGAGCGAGCTGCTGCTCTGCATCCTGATGTAATTCTGTGTGCAGAGAGGCAGCGTGTTTGAAAGTAGGCGAGGAAAACTTGGCCCTCTGGCCCCTGCAGTACTGTAACTAGCCTTGCAGTGAGTGCAGGGTGCTTCCTGCTGTTGAGTGTGCTTCCCACCACATGGCCTTTGCATCAGGGATTGAGGACTGAGAAGAGTAGAGGTGGTCCCTCATCTGACGCTGCAGATGCGTTCAGTCTGGACTATGTTAAAGTTATAAAGTTATGCTCTTTAGTTTTATTGCATTTGTGATGTGCTGTGCTGTGACTGACTTCTGTCTGGTTTTGTTTTTTTTTATAGGGTCATCCTCATCTTTGAACACCACGCTGCCTTCAACTAGTGCCTGGTCATCCATTCGTGCCTCCAACTACAATGTTTCCCTCAGCAGTACAGCACAAAGCACTTCAGGTGATGTCTGCTCATATTGTCCTTTGTGTGCTTCAAGGGGGATACTAAATGTTAATGAAAAGTAGTCCTGAGGTCTCATCTGAGTGGTAACTTAGCAAATTTTCAAAGTAGCTATTTTGATTTTTCTCTAATTTAACAGCTTTTATTTGTAACCAGGTAGCATATGCTGCAGCATAGTGATTGTGGTTGCCTTTATATGTCTTTTAGTAGCCAGAAACAGTGATTCCAAATCAACATGGTCTCCTGGATCAGTCACTAACACCTCTCTGGCTCATGAGCTGTGGAAGGTCCCTTTGCCACCTAAAAGCATCACTGCTCCGTCCCGCCCACCTCCAGGGCTAACAGGCCAGAAACCACCGTTGTCCACTTGGGATAATTCCCTTCGTTTGGGTGGAGGATGGGGAAATTCTGATGCCAGATATACCCCTGGTAAGGATGTCTTTCTGTGTGTGAAGGTGGGTTTTGTGCTGTGATCGAGCTAGGGAGTCTCCTGTGCGTTTGGTTCGATAATCTGTCACTGCTAGCAAACAGCTGCACCGGTTGTCTTGCCAAAAGCAGAAGCTGCTCTGTATATCCTACACTGCATTGCAGCAGACTCTCTGCTGAATCAAACTGGGGGGAGGATGGGGTATTGTATGTGATGGCAATACAGATGGCACTGATGGGTTTTCTGTCCTTGGCGTGGACCATCTCTCCAAACGCTTTCCGAGTTTGACATCTGGGCAGCTGAATGCAGTTGCCTATTAAGCATATTTCAGAGTGTGGCTCATACCCTAATGAATTAGATCATGGTAGTACAGGCAGTCTTCAGGCTTCAGAACTGTTCTGAGCTAGCAGCAAGTCTCAAAACAAATATATTTGTATTTTTGCTTTAATTATGATTATCTGATAACAATGGAGCTACTTACAACTGTATTTACATGATCGAATGCTTCAGAAAGTAAATAAAAAGAGTAGATGCAGACTTCAAATCCTGTGCCATCCCAAAGTAGCTTTCTAGTGGTTTTAAGTCTGGAAAAGATGAGTACTAGATGAGTTTTTCTTATTTATGAACGTTCCTGTTGGTTGCCACGCAGCTTCTCATGCTCCTCCTGACACCAGCGTGGCAGGAACCGACTCCTTTTATTTTCCCTCCTTTTAGGTTCAAGCTGGGGTGAGAGCAGCTCAGGGAGAATAACAAATTGGCTTGTTCTAAAAAACCTTACACCTCAGGTAAGGCTGGAGCACGCGGGGACATGGTCCGGTGCGGGCAGAGCGGGATGGTGGATGGCTCTGTGGCTCAAGGTGGAGCTTTGTAAGGGCTGTTCTCAACATTCTGCATTTCTTCCATCCTTAGATCGATGGCTCAACCCTGCGTACTCTGTGCATGCAGCACGGTCCACTAATAACATTCCACCTTAACCTCCCACATGGTAATGCTTTGGTCCGTTACAGTTCAAAAGAAGAGGTAGTGAAGGCACAAAAATCTCTGCACATGTAAGTTGTTCTTTCTTTTTTTTTTTACTCTAAATTTTAAACAGCTGTAAATGTTTTATTGGGTTTT